ATAATTCTATTTTTTTTTAATATGTAAAATATGAAATGTAAACAGAAGGCTATGCGCCTATGCCTACTAAAAATATGTAAAATAGAACCATAGTCTAATAAATGCTATAAATTCTCTCTACAGGCTATATGTTATAAAAATAGCGAGAAAAAACAATGCTATAGATATGTCTTTTTTTGTTTTTTTGTTTTGTTTTATTTTCAGAAGACCATTTTTCTTTTATGTTGATTGGTTCGGTTTGTTTTTCTTAGAAAACATAAACCACCACGCAGCATTGAGCTCATTATCCATTGGGCAGGAGCACAATATATGCTCTAGTGATCGGCTCCGCTTGAGTCTTGAGTTCCTGACTTCTGCCTGGCGCCTCCTGCTGCTGCTGCTGCTTCTGCTGCTGCTGCTGCCTGCTGGTATTAATTACTTTCCGCCTAATATGTACAAAATGTTCTCTATTATAGAATTGTACTTTTTAGTATACACCTGCGGCGCCCTGATCTGATGAGGGCTGAGGCACTGATCCCCTTCCGGAGAAGTGGGGAACGTATTGGCAAATTGCTATCAAACCACTGAAACCAGCTCATAAGCGCAAATAATAATACACAACTTGTGAGAGCGAAAGCAACAAGGAAACTAGAGTACGCACTATGTCTATTGCCAGAGCCATGTCAGGCATCACGTGCTACACACTCGTTACCATATCGTATCTCTTATTCTACACAGCATACTCGAAAACGGCTAAGACGCTCGTGCTGGGTGACCTTCTCGACGTCCTCTTTGTACGCAAAAGCATCGACCACACGCTTGTACAGTGGAACAAAGTCATATCACTGGCAGGTATCACTTGTCTGGCCTTCTCGTTCACGCCTCACTTCAATCATGTCTGTGACCTCGACGAGTTGTTGTGGGTTTCGATCATATCCCTACAGGTACATGCAATGTACTCCATCTACAAGTACTACGGCAGTCCCAACATTCCAGAGCTGCTTACATTCCCCCAGGCATTCACACAAATGAATGCCGCGGGTCCCAAGGACCGACTAATAGCGAAAAAGAAGCTGTCCATCGTCCTGGGTGCTTGTGGTAACATGATTCTCGCTGCGTACCAGTATGGACTCCTACCACTAACCCCTGTAAAAGGAATGCTGGTAGTGCTGCTGGGTGTGATGCACTTCTACTTCATGGAGATAGACTTCAAAGATCAACTGCAAGTGCGTCCGTGGGGATTTCTGGGCTTTGTGGCACCCGCAGTTTGCCTGGTAGTCGGACCTCTAGCCGTCGCCGGATTGTTATAAGAGAGTACAGTTGAGCTGCCCTCGAAGCTGCTGAAGGTTAGCAAGATCTCATGTACATATACGAATGGTGTTACATGCCGAATTAAAGTGTGTTTTTATGGTGAATTTCTGCGTTGGTAGGACGCGATATGCTTATCCCGTTGCTCTACGTTTTCTGAACGTCCACTATTTGTATCAACTGCTGTCTAGGTTTCCTTATCACTTATCATCTTAATGCGATATAAATTCAATCTCGCCACACATCTTCTCGCACTCCGTTGCGCACGTTTGCGTTGTGTCAGTTCTTAATGCGTGTTCATTTTCAATTGTTCGTGATTGATTCTCTTTTAAAGTCTACAAGCTGATTGTGTTTGTTTGTTGAACTCACCAGTCATACAAATTACCAACGCAGCATTTATAATATTAATACAAACGAAGTTAGCTTGTATACAATGTCGATAGATAAGAGAGAATACCAGGTAAGCTAACAGATCGCCTATGCTTCCATACACCATCGACACCCCACTTAGTATTGATGTACCGATAGAAAAGCGAATGTAGTATGGTATTATCTTCTATATCAAAGTATGATATTATATTTAACTCGCATCTCATTAATCCCAGGAATGTATATCTATACATTAAGTAAATATATATGGATATATAGCATATA